CTTCAGAAAACGAGCCCTGTGCTCACCTGACCTCAGATCAGTTTATGGTCTGAGCCGCTGGTTTCACATCTTAGTCTCTAAAACCTGATTCTTATTTTCTAAAGTGTGATCTGATAAATCAAAGTTCTTCAAATGCATCACATATCACTGTCAGATGCCTCCTGCACCTCGCTGGTACACACAACGTGTCCATGGGCATGGGTGTGATGCATTCGCTGCAGCAGCGCTAATAATGGTCCCATTTTAGAGACGTACAAACGCAGCACAGAGATGCTGGATGGCAGACGGTGGCTTATCTTATTCAGCCAGGTGACTGCCATCCTTGTACCCTGGTTCATTAAAGGACCGTAGCTTGGGTTCAAGTCCAGCCCCAGCCCCATCTCACCAAGGCTGTGACCGCCACCAAAACCAAATGTTTAAAAAAAGACTATTTTCAGGATGTACGTCTTTATGTTAATGGAGCTTTGACACCAAACATGAAGCAAAGTTCTCTTATTGGCTGTGGGTGCTCGCCCCTTCCTTCTAATGCTGGAAGTTTGTCTCGTCTGCTCGGACTGATATGGTCATTACACAAAGCAGCAAATATTAACAGTGTCTGGTAGCAGCCTACCAGACAAAGCTTAAAGTTATAAAGATAGTGACATTTTCAAAATCTTCCTTAAATGTTAAAGCTTTGCAAAAACTTGGGTAATGCTTGCAAATGGTCAGGCTAGCACAAAGCCTCTGAAGTCTCCAACTTTAACTAGCAAAGCAAAAGCTGTCCTTCAAACAGTGAAATGTGCAAAACTATTTACGTCTTTCAAAACAGATGAATCCACAGTGTCTTATATACAAAGCTTCAGGACGGTTTGTCAGGTTGAGAAATCCTCCGTTTCCCACAAACATCCACCTGACAAACTTTCCACTCTCCTGGTCACATGATCCCTGGTCATAACCTCACCTCCATCACTTCCTGGAACCCTGAAACCAAAGCTGTGTCTCTGCCAGCTCGCTGCTCTGGAGGCGAGCGGCTCTCCCTTTGCCCTGCTCGTCCCCAGCAGGTGTTTCTGATCCACCAATCAGCAAGTGTGCTTTTAACTGTAATCGGTGTTATTCGTGAGCCCGGGAAGGCCGATGACATTCAAAAGTGCAGAGATGAAGGTCACCTCCAGCAAACAGAGATAAGCAGCGACATGTTATTGAATGTTCTCCTGAATAATCCGACTGAAGCAGTGGCTCAGCGAGGACAAACCAGCCACACGCTTCCTGTTTGCTGTATTTGATGTATTTGTTTCTTTATCGTTCAAATATCTGATGCAGACAATCTGCGTGTCTTGTTTACGTGCTGCTCGGTGCAGAAAAAAATGTCCAATTTTCTGCCTAAATTCAAAGCAGGTAGATAAATAATTCATATAATTGGAGCGGCTGAGCTTCCGTTTATTGGGAAATTTGGAACAGATAGCAGCTGCTCTTCCAGCACTGGACTTTTTTAAAACTACAGTTTCACAATAATGACAATCAGACCGGCCTCGAGTGACAGCGTGAAGTATTTCGACTTCTAACCGAACACCGAGCAGCACCGTCTGAGCCTGAGAACTGAAGCCCCTCCCCCAGACATGCTCCGGTGTGACCTTTAGATAACAGAGTACAAACTGCATCCACCTGTGAATCCAACCCACGGCCGA